CCTCATAGGTGGAAATATCTTGCTGAAGGCCCTGCATAACCTATTAACAGTGGAACACAATAAAATTCGAGATGACTTTTACAAAAAAACCAAATAGCAATTTCAATCTATTTATACTAATCTAACTCTCTATGTGGAGACCACCCCAAATTTTTAGATCCCAAAGCCAGTCTCAATTGGAGGGTGAACTGTATTGTATGAACATAAAGCAGTGAATGAATAAATAGAAGAAAGAATGAGTGAATGCATATAGCTTGCCTGAATAAATATTGAATGAACGATGATTTATATCTTTCAAAAAAAATGTTCATCATCATTGTTATGGTAGTGGTGATGATAATAATTATAATGTTGATAATGACAAGAACTATGTTAATAATCTAATAATATTAAGCTATCTTAGAGTTGCATGGTAACAAACCTTAGTTAAATCATTCGCATCATTCTGCGCTGCCTTCTGATTGGCCAGCTCCTGATCTATTCTACTTTGACTCTTCTTTTTCACTTTTGTAGTATCATTGATTGCCAATGTTTCACCTGTTAAATCTACTGACACATCTCCTGGTTCTGGTGTCTTTATGTCACCTGTTAATGTATCACACAAATTAGGGATGATTCACTAACAGATGAGATAATGCACCATTGATAATGGTAAACTGATTTCAGATTAAACAAAAAGCAGTAAACTATTATTCTAGAATGTAGATGAATGTATTTATTTAGTAGGTGCAATGCAAAAGTGTTATGCTTGTGTGGCACACAAATAAGTATGTAAGTGTTAATTTTATAATTACAGGTATTTAAGTCCGAGGTACGACATTAAACTCCATCCGGTCGAAGTGTCGGCGACTAAACTGACAACCCTCTCAAATATGTCTTAGTGGCTGCTGAGGGGAGGATGTTTATGGTCGCCCAGCAGCAAGAAAAACCAATAGCTGAACAAAGGGCGGATGAGCTCCTCGGAGTCAACGGCCAACCATTAATTAGTTTAAGGAATAGGAGTAGTTTAGTCTCATTGTTATTATTGTTATTATGATTATTTTTTATTTTATTTTATTGTTATTATTTTATTGTTATTTGCTTTTTCTCAGTTGGCCTATATTATTTCTCTGTAAAGCGCATAGGGGCAATGTGCAATATGCGCTATATAAATATAACATTATTATTATTATTATTATTATATTATTTAATTAATTATTCTATAACACAGAAATCTATGTATGTTACAAATTTTACATCATCTTTAGATGAGCTCATAGTCTACCCCTTATGAACCTATTCTTATTTCATCCTTTGTTTATACATGTAATATCTATTTGGGACTCATTGTAAATATTGAATATCTCACTATCTTAATAAAAATCACATTCACATAATAAACACATATAATATGCTCATACACATCATACAGAAATTAAGTCTTTCTTCAAGAAAGTGGCAGTTTTGGTCATAAAGACAATATTGTCACTGTCAGGACTTGAACCCAACACCCAGGGTTTGGAAGGCAAGTCATAGCAAATACTCATGAAATATATTATATCTTTGCTCACCACTTTTTTTCCTTATGTTTCCAATATCAGATATGATCTTGCTCCTTGGACCTCTTTCAGGAAGTATCTGCATAAAACAAGTGTACAAAAAAGTATACAATAAAGTTACTTTTACTTTCTAGCACACAGGTGGGCAAAGTGCGCCTGACAGTGATGTTTTTTGCGGCCACGAAAATGAATTAAAAACCCTATGTGTTCGACTCGCCAAGCAACATGGCTAAAAAACACCTTATATTTTTCGACAAAACACCGATTATGAGAAATGTAACATTGAAACTGAGAATAAAGTGGTGTAAAAGCAAGTGCTTTGGGGTTTTTGAAAGCTCAAAGTTTGGGTGCGGCCCTCCGACCGATTTTTATGACCACCCCTATTCTAGCAAATGCAGAAATTATCTATCTGTGTTACTATGTATTTATTATATATTATGTATTGTTTATATTATGTGTTTGTATTTGAGTACTAGGTTTAGAAAAACAAATATCATGTACTTTTTTGTGAATGACAATAAATTGAATCTTGAAATTTAATATTAGTCTGTGATTACTTATAAAATAAAAACACTAAATATGTGCTTTCCTATTCAAGAAACCTGGAATAATCGAATAAACCCTGGTTTATTTTTTTCATCATAATTATTATTCTTTTCATTATTTAATATCATTAATAGTTCACCTGCACATCAGGTTGTGAATCATTTTTCTGTTGTGATTTTATGAACCTCTGAAACCTGTCCATGTCAACAACCTTTCCAGGAAAGTCTTTTGGAATATTCTCCTTCTCTTCATCTGAAGACAGATGTTCTAATGTAGAATCTAAAAAATCATAATTAACATGAATTTTAATTAGTATTTATGAATTACCAATGATTCCTTTACAAAACCTATAGAATTTCATATATAAGAAACCTTCACAAAAAGATAATACCCTATAAGATACGATAAAACATTATTTATGAGCCAACATCATCTACAGCATATCACCACCATCAACGCTATCAACATCAAAACCACCATTTTTTCTCTTAGATAGATAGATATTTATTGGATAGCACTTTTGAAACAGCGGCACATGTTGGAAAATACCTAATGATGTATCCAAAACAACTTCGTACAAAATGTAACAACAAAAATACATATGTCAACAAAAATACACCTACATGTTTTTTCATCATTAAGATATACTGTAAATCATAATCATCATCAACATTATATTATTTTTGAGCCACTGGGGCTCATAGCGCTGGAGCTTATCCCCAGTTTCTATAGTGTGAAGCGGATGAGAGTTGTACTCCCCCTGGATGGGACACTAGTCCATCGCAGGTTAGTCCCCAGCAGTTTGCTGGTACCCATTGATACAGCTGGGTGGACTGAAGCAATGTAGCTAAAGTGTCTTGCCCAAGGACACAAACGAATTTGCACAGCGGAGACTCGAAAACCCTGACCTTACGATTGAAAGTCCGAACCTCAACCACTATGCCAAACTGCCGCTACCTCATTATCACCATAATTGCTGTATTACCTTGGCTAGAACTGGTGACTTCGTTCAGAGCATAGGCATCCATTACAGACTCGCTGAGAGTGGTGAGCTGACTGTCTGTGTGTGGCCGCACAAATACTGGTCCCTGCAATCTGAATTTAAAGGAACTTCAATTACCATCGTTATATTTATTAATACATAGAGTTGGTTTTGAAGGTTGCAGGGTGAATTAAATTAGTAAATAATTATAGTTTTTAGGCACACCATGTGGTATATTAAGCTATAAATCTCAATCTGATGGTATCTCGGTTCTGAGAAGGACCATTTGGATTGTACTCTAACCATCTTCAGGGGAAGAAACCTATAATTATTTATTAACACATAAAATTGCTTTGCATAAAAAATACATGTCACAAAAAAGGTTACCTTTCTTGTGTGTTAGAGATCTGAGGAGCAAGGGTCACGTTTGGAATGGCCTCACGTCGACGTGGATCGTCTGCAAACAGGTCTTTCACTACGGACATGACACGATCACTGTGGGCGATGACATCACTTAGCTGCGCTTGGTCGTAGAGGACCTCCCGCAGGAAGGCACTTTTTGAATCATCTAAACTATTGGTTCGAGCTGAAAGAGAACAGTCTCACTATTAAGTCCAGGGAAGGCAGTAATCTTGACACTATACTGTTTTTATATTTTTATGCATTTTTCTTTTAATTTTATTTTGTAGTAAAGTGTAGTTTTAAATAATACCCTGGACCTCAGGGAAGAACAGTGTAACAATACTGACTGAGTATCCAGAATGAAGAAAGATTTCTATCTATCTATCTATTATAGGATGTGTGCTCTATCTGGCATTACAATGGTTTCTGTAACAAACATCTGTGATTTGCACACAAACTGACATCATGATGTCATGTCATATCATATTCATATGTAGGAAAATCACATGTATTTGTCAAAGAAAACTTGATTAATGTGCACTGACGAAGAAATTTGCACATAGTTGAGGCCTAAGAGCATTTGTGTATTTTTGCCTCCAAAACAGCAGCAGAAATGCACAATGCACTGGACCGGAATTATCTGAAGGAAGCTGTGTCATGTAGTATTACGTGTACTACAAAATTGATTACACATTTGGATTTATAAATTCTGTGTTCTCAAAAAATTTGTAGGTGTGTACATTCAGAGTCAATAGTATTGTACATAATATTATTGGCAAATATATTGCTTTAGTCTAAACATTATAATTCTTTCAACAGAATGCTTTCTATCCATGTCAAATGGCTAGATAAAGCAATTGGAATAATTATTAATATGAAGAGATTTTTTAATGGGGGTCAAACACCAGATACATTTTTAATTAAATAAACTATTACCACAATGCCCTTCTACCTCCATTTTGGTCTTAACATTTACCTTTTCTCAATGTCTTGGCCACCTTTTCACTTCTAACTGCCTCAAGGTTACTTGACATATGAACCTGCTTCCTCCTTATCTAACACAAAATTTAATAAAAAAAATTATAATTTTTTATTTTACATATAAATGTGGTATTATTTTTTTCACTATGCAAATTAATGCTGGAGTTGCTTACCATCCTTTTGAAACTATTCAATGTTTTAACTGATTGATAAAGGTTTTTCCCCTGGCTCTTATACTAATAATGCTAATAAACTGCCTATTAAAATAAAAACATAACTTTCCAACCAGCTCTACCTGAAAATTTAACCAGCCGCAGAAAAATTATGGAATGGTGAGTTATGTACAAATAGAAATTTCTTAAGACATGAAAAATGATAATTCAATTGAATAGTACCTGTTCATCTGGGCTCATTTTGTGCACTGTGAGATCTGAAACTGTATCCTAAAATAAAACAATTTGAAGAATTAATTTTCTATATCACCGGTAATACCGTAACAGTTTTTTTTTAAACGTATGGTTTACAACATCAAAACTGAGAGTTAAATGAAATAATAAAATCCATCACAAAAAACTAAACATTAAATTTTCATTATTGTTAATATCATTAAAGTTTTTAAAGCATTTTTATAACTGTTATGTAAAATTATTAATTTAAATAATATCGGCTTTGGTGAAATCTGGGGAAACCACCCGCCCAACCAAGAGTGCAATTTAAAATTTTTTTTTTTTTTTTTTAAATTAAAAAATTTAAAGCATCAGATATCAACTTCCGATGAAAAGGTGGTCAGAACAATTAAGTTCCGAGATAAATTTCTATTACTGTATTGTTATATTTTGTACAGTAATTGAAAATGAACGTGATGGACAAACAAAACATTCTCTATTCAGTATTGTTGCAAATTTGACACCATTAAATTAAATATATTTAAATAGAGTATTTAACTAACCTACCTATTGTGATTTTATATGTAGGCCTGTTACTTTGTTATGTGATTGTTTTACTATTGAATCTTGACCTCTTGGAAGACTAGTACTTATGTTATATTGAAAGAGTTTTTCTGTACTTGTAGTGGTACTGGTATAGGCATTTATAATGCGCCTCTTCCTTGAGGTTCTAAAGCACATTTCTTTTCCCTGGTCATTGGGTCCACATGATTGAACAGAAAAATGTACAAATTAACATTTGACTCACATCCCAAGCTGGTTGCTTCTTGGTTCTCTTCTTTTTCGTTCCAACATTTGTTTTTTTGTTGATCCTTTGAAATGACATTTTGTCTTCCTTGCTACATAAATATTAAGTCTGCAGAAGAATAGGTTATATCTGTTGCAAACATCTACTTAGAGATAACCAGCACTAATGATTAAAATAAAATTGTTGGACCTAGGCTGTACGAGAACCAGTCAATTCGAGCGGATGCCACTTCGAGCGAAGGCCAATTCGAGCGAATTCGAGCAGAATTTTTTTTGAGCGGATGCTAGTTTGAGCGGAAGAAGATCCACTTGTGCGAACATCAACCTGTGCGAGTTATATACAAATTACTCAAAATTTCCTTTTTGAGCTAAAAATTTTGACATTTTCAAAGGGGAAGGGGGGCACACAACAGTTCCAGAATAGATAAGTGAATAGCATAACTTAATTACAAATATAATTTGAGCTAAAAATTTGACATTTTCAAAGGGGAAGGAAGGGTGCGCACAACAGTTCCAGATAGATAAGTGAGTAGCATAACTCAATTACAAATATAATTTGCTTTTTTAAATACAGAACCCCAACCAGTGGTGGAGCTGGGGAAGGGGGAGGGGTGGTGAATTACCGTGAAAAAAATAATGGACACACGTCTCGTGTGTGTGCTTCTCGTGCACTCTAGTAAAATACACTTTCCGTTCTTTTTTAAGCTTTTTGTGCGCAATTCTTTTATAGTTTTAACTTGTTAGCAGCCATCTTGGTAGTCGGAGTTGCCAAGACTGTAATTCAAACATGGAGTAATTATCAAAAACTACTAAAAACCTTTCAGAACCTTAATAATCAGAGCATTTTTTTGCATTTAAAACAAATACAAGAATACGGCGACGATAAATTCGCCCTTGTTATAGTTCGCACTAAATGCATCCACTCGAACTGGCATCCGCTCGAATTGACTGGCATCCGGCTGTACATGTCCTACTTTTTCAGTTTGTCATTTGCTAGGTTGACACAGCTCTCAAGTGGCAGATCAGCCAAAGTCATGGATAATTGGTTAGTAAACAATTTATGGATAGCAGCAATTTTCACCGATTACCAGACTTTTCTTACTACTACTACAAGTTATGATTTTAAGATAATTCATATAATAAACATATCTTTACAAGCCCACATAGGCCTATTTGTTATATTTTAAAGAAATTATTAAAATTTTCAGCCTTCATCATATCATCTCAATTGACAATGACATTATCCTTATCTTCACCATCATCAGCATCATCATCATCATTATCAGTCACCATCATCAGCATCACCAATTATTAAGTCCTCCAGGCGTAGTTAGCCTATGCTATCTATCCTACCTGTATCCTAAAGGCGAAGGTGACAGACTTCAGTCCTTCATATTTGTTCGACCATTGGAGGATATGTTTGAAACCCGTCAGTGCCAAGGATGCATCCAATGACGTGATTCACCAGTGACATGTCGGTCCTTTTAACAACAATAATAATAATAATATGAGAAAAATACCAATAAAACACCAATAACAATATTTTTAAAATTAACTATTATTAAAATAATAATACTAAGACTAATATATAATAATAATATGAATTTAAAAAATCGAGAATTTTGTATTGTTTATATGGTAACAATAATAATATCAGCAAAAATTTAAACAATACATAATGTTAATGCTAAGGCTACTAATTAATATTAAAACTAACGGTAATAAAAACAACAATAATAATAAAAATGACACCAATAACAGCAATATTATTGTGGCCGAGTTGACTTGTGGCCGAGTTAACTTGTGGCCGAGTTGACTTGTGGCCGANTTGACTTGTGGCCGAGTTGACTGCAGCCGAACTTTTTGTGGCCGAGTTGATTTGTGGCCGAGTTGACTTGTGGCCGAGTTGACTGTGGCCGAGTTGACTTGTGGCCGAGTTGGATCGAATTCTCTAGGCCTAGTAGTACTCTAGTAGTAGGCCCTAACCTAGGCTAGGGCCTAGGCCAGAGCTCCTGCCGGGGACTGGGAGGCCTGCTGGCCTATATTCTAGGCCAGGAAATTAGGCTTCTCTCCATTCTAAACGAGTCCCAAAACTAACTTAGTTTTAGCCTAGAGAGTCTAGGTAAAAGACCTACACGATTATTTACAAATAAAAAGAATGACATCATATAACGTCAACCTCAACATCAACCAACTTTACTTACGTGTACTGCTGATGGTAGAAGTGGTACCTGGCCACTTGAAATTCCCGGTGTTGTCGTTGCCGGTATTGCGGTTTTTAAACCATTTGTTTTTCCAATTTTTAATTAAAATCAAGTAAAATACATATTAAAGACTACTGATATTTAAATAAACTTCAGTTTTCAGTTATTTAAATCGAAAACAGTAGACTGTTATTACGTTTTTTTGGTTTTTTTTACATTGGTTACACATTATTTGCCAGACATGCGGTTGTAAATTATATAAATTTGAAGCATTTATTACATCCTATTTTACATTCACCAATAACATTTTATTTTTATTTTCTCCTCCGTCTGGATGATTTTGGCAAAAGTATTTCCTAAATAAGAAAAAAAAAATTTAATTTATTTTTATTCCTCCCTCCACCAAAAATCCTTAAAAAATAAGTATGCGAAACAATGAATAAAAAAAAAGTCTTGCCTTAACCTAATAAATTAGGTAATACTAATAGCCTTCATCCTCGAGCTCATCATCATCTTCTTACTATAGTTAGGCCTAGGCCTAGATCGGTAATAAACCTATTTATACTTCAATTTTGCAGGTCGGCAATTCATTTTGCTATTTGATATATATCCCACCAGATTTCGATGTCTGCATTTTATTTTAGTCATTAAAAAAAATATTAATATTAAATTATGAGTTTGCATTGGCTCAGAGTTTAGGACTGCTAATCAGCGTAATGATTTGGGCAACTGTGCAGCTGGTCAAACCCGTACCCGGGGCATCAACGCTTGTCCTATTTGGTGGTAGGCCTAGATAGAAGAAGCTCCCTAGCTACTAGTAGACAAAAAATGAAATCATGAGATATTACAGGGTTCAAATTTGTGACCAATAAATATATAAATAATAAATATAAAGTTTAGGCGTAAATTACATTCAAAAAGCATGGAGGTATTCATTAGTTCACATAATAGGCCTAGGCCCCTAGGCCCTACTACTATACTTCGATGCTCCTAGCCTAGTTAATTATTTAGGGGAAAAGTTTTATTATTGATCATCTGTGTTTTAGAACGACGTTCAAGTAATGTCCTTGAGAAGAAACGTAAACTTGGATCAACTGGTTCAAGACATCCACAATTGGCAAAAGGTTGGTTACTTGGGCAATATCACATCAGTCAATCTTTTTTTTTTATTGATATTTATTATTTAAATTATCAATTAATTTACAACGTTTTTAATTAAATTCAGCAAATAGATGATTTATGGGAGACCAATCAACAACTTGAACTACACAAGAAAATACTACATAGACAGTGTGAAAACAGTGAAATAAAAGAGAAAAATGCAATTGAAGGTACTGTACTATATTTAAAACATTAAATACTGTTGAGATTCAACTGTTTTTGTCAGTTATGCTATGGGAAAGCAACCCTGTATTTTGAATGTTTATATAGCCTATACTTATATGGAGACTTGCAGTATACACTATATAATATACACTTATTTTTTAACAGATGCAAATGAGATGCATAAATTGGTGGATAAACTTCAGGGTATTCTAGCAATGAGGTGTGATATTGAAGGTAGATGTCATCTCAAAATTCAACTATACTATATTAAGAGTTATTAATAAATAAAGAAATACGCTATGTATTTCGATTGTGCCTAATATAACCAAGTAATACACACTACCAATTACCTGGATTATAAAAATAATAAAATAATATATTTATTTTAAAGATGAAAACCGAACACTTAAAGATCAGATTGAAGATATGCAGGATAAAGTAGCAATGCTTACAAAGGTACAGTAATTTAATTGTATTACAAAAGTTAAAATATATTATTTCTGTAGATTGTTTGGTGTGTGTGTGTTTAGATCATTGATTCATCAATTAAATTACCTTATCCTATTTAGTAATAAAATAAGTTTATATTTTCTAACAAAATAAAAGCTATATTTTAAATGATGAAATTAAAAATTTGACCATGATTTGACTAGGAGCATGGTGAGAAGGAAGATAAATGGAAAGAAGAAAGGCAAGAAATAATTGAAAGACATAAAGAAGCATTAGTCAATGTTACAGAAGATGCCAGAATAGAGGGTATGTGTTATATAACATCATCAAGAGATACAAAAAAAAAGTTTGGAGTTTGAGCACCTATAGAGGGCGCTATACAGATACTGTGCTTTTTCTTTTGAGTTAAAAGCAGAGTTTATGTTGTCCAGATTACACCATGAAGTTGGGGTTGGTTTAATGGAAAATGAAGTTAATTGAATTTTTTGTTGTAGAAGTAAAAAATAGATTCTCTCCTGCTGTATTGTCTCGTTCCTCATCTTCTTGTCATTTGCTTTGTGTTGCTGTGGAACAGGTAGCACGGGAGAGGTTGCATGACCAACAGAAAATTAAGTACATTAAGAATTTTGAGACATTAATAGTTACTGTAATGTGCGAATGCTGTCTCTTATACACATCTAGATGTGTATAAGAGACAGGGCTTGAGTACACTACATTATCAATATAATCATTATTCTCATTACTGTATGTACCAGATTTAATAAATCTTTTCTTAATTTATGTTCATAATGTTATTATAGTATGCATTTTTTGACCAATGTCTCTTTCATTTTTATAGTCAAAAAAGAAGTTAGCATTCTTGAAAGAAGTCTGGAAGAAAAGATACGAAGTGTAAGAACACTTCAGAAACAAATGGCTGATGCAGAGAAAGCAAAACACACAGAGATTATCAAACTAAAACTGGAGGTAATGCACATTGGTTGGTTATTTTTAAGTTTTCAAAACATTTTAATAGAGAAGCTAAGATAGAGGGTGTTACACTGGTTGAGTTTATTATCTATTCTTCAGCTTTTAAATATTTATAATATAATGTAAAAATGACACAGAATGATCAATATTGTGCTTTTAAGTGGAAAATACTGTATTAAATACTGTAATTACATTTTAATGTTTTTTTTTTTTGTTTTTTTAGGGGACCGGGGACGGCCCAGCCTCCCACAAAATCCTCCCCTAATATACAATATAAAATACCCTCATTTTCAATATTTATGAGAAGATAAATTATTACAACTCAAATGTAATCATTATTCATGAGCAATGTAAAAATGCATTTACCGTCTGATAAGCCCGCCCATCTGTTGTGATTTTTCAGTTGTTAAGTTTGCTTGACACTTAGATGACTATTGAATGTATATTTTGACAGATGAGTGCAGCCAAGAAGATGCACCAAATTGTATAGGCTATAGACAATATTGTGACGATGCAGATGGAGAGTTTGCACCTGTTGTTGTGCGCTGTCCACACATGTGTAAGAGGTGCCCCAGTAAGTCACTGCATTTTTCATGTGATCATTATTACCACTCAAATGTTTAAACATAGGCCTATGTAATAATTTATTCATGAGAAAAGTAAAAATGTATTCATGGCCAGCGGAACCTGGGGGGGGGCCCCCCCCCCACTTTTTGGCAAAAAATATATAATGTCTGGAGATTTTTGTATGATCGGAAAGAAATGCAAGAAAAGAAAGAGGAAAGAAGGAGGAGAAGGATGGGAAAGAGAATGTTTATCCAGTCCCCGACCGAGTTACATTTTCTCGCAATTCACATTGGCGGATCTGGGGGAGGGGGAGTCCAGTCCCCGACCGAGTTACATTTTCTCGCAATTCACATTGGCGGATCTGGGGGAGGGGGAGTCATCGGTCCTGACCCTTCCCTTGGGCCAAAAAAAGGGGGAAAAAGAATTCTAGACCTACCTGTTCAGGACCCGTGAGCTGATTTTTTTTTTCCGCCTTCTAGGAATCAAAAATGTTCACGGAGGAGAACCCCCGGATCCCCCTTTCTTTTTGGGATTTATCGATTCATGGAAAAAATTTGTATGCAACTACTCATATTTTTTTTTATTTTTATGTATGTACACACACATAAGGCCTATTTATTGTAAAAACAATGAGGAAAAATTACCTGACCGTTTTCAAGAGGGGAAAACCTTGGAATTTTGAAGAACTTAAAAGTAATTAAAAGACACCTCAGAAGTCGCTTTAATTAAAATCGCTAAAAGATACTTTAAAAATCGGGAAAGCTCATTTCCCACCATTTAGAAATCAACATTTTTCCGGGGAAAATCCAAACCTCCCTTTTCTCTTTGGGTTCATTGATTGATTATAAAAATTTTCAAGAGAGGAAAACCTTGAATTTTGAAGAACTTAAAAGTAATTAAGACACCTTAGATGTTGGAAAAGCTCATTTCCCGCCATCTAGGAATCAAAATTCCTAAATTACTCATTTTTTTTTGTATGTTTACACACATGTCAGGCCTATTTACTGTAATAAGAATGAGAAAGTTTACCTGACCGTTTTCAAGAGGGGGAAAACCTTGTATTTTGAAGAACAAAGTCATTAGACACCTAGCTCAAAAGTCGAGAAAAGTCATTTTCCGCCATCTAGAAATCAAAATTTTCCCGGTGGAGGACCCCGGACCCCCTAGATTTGATTCCAGATCTGCATGATCCATATTCCAATTCATCTTATGAGTTTCATTCATCTTTGGAAAACGTTAGGCCCGGCCCTAGTATTTACCGTCTGCTAAGCCCCGCCCATCTGTTGTGATTTTTCAGTTGTTAAGTTTGCTTGACACTTAGATGACTATTTAATGTATATTTTGACAGATGGCTGCAGACATCCCGATGCACCAAATTGTATATTCTATAAAAATTATTGTGATGATGCGGATGGAACTTTTGCACAAGATATTGCGTACTGTCCACACATGTGTGGGAGATGCCCCTGTGGGTAAGTCACTGCATTTATCACGTAATACTCTAGGTGTTACGTCTAGAGAGTGTCATGTTTTAGATTAATGGCTCTTCCACAGTGGCATGTTCAAACGGTTCAAAAAACATCCAGGGCCGTCGGAACCGCACCGGCCGCACCACTTTGGCCGGACGTACCACTTTTCTCAATTCTGTTAATACTTTAAAAAAAAAATATATAGGCCTACATTTACCTATACATTATATGACTTTATTATTAATGTTCGCATCGGATTGTCTTTTTAATGGTAGGCTTTTGTTTAAATATGTAACATAAAAAGACAATCCTATGCGAACATAATAATAAAGTCATATAATGTATAGGTATTTATTTATTTTGAGGAGGCCATCTGTCTCTTATACACATCTAGATGTGTATAAGAGACAGATATAGGCCTATATATATATGGTCACTTTTTAAAACGTTTTCGTAACTTATCTCTATCGTTTATCCTTCAGGTAATCATGTTTCATGAAACACATCACCACTCTTCCGTTCTACAGCAAATCGTAGACAGGTTAAAATATGATAATGATTTGTTTTTACCAGCTTCTTAAAGAACAGACAATAAAACACTTTTATCCGTAATCTGTTTGTATGAGTGCATGGTAATGGTTGTCGGATGTCAGAAGAGAAGTGAGAGAGAACTCTGTCCAACACACCTCATACAAAGTCCCCACATCCACATTCTATCAGTGTGCTATTCCGTTAATGGCATATCATTATAAGCAGCATATACGCTGTTAATAATAAACCAGTTTATTCGTATAGGCTTAACAGATGTACCTTTTGGATAGCAATGAGTGCAATGGTAGTGAAAATAAATTGCAAACCAAATGTTATCTATAATTCTATTAGTCTTTAAATGCAGTGTTTTCGCCAATAAGTCATCAAAATAATATATTCCTGATATAGTCAGCCAGTGACGTCAATTAATATTCTGTGAAGATACAGGCGTCTCTGCAGGAGGATTCCCGTAGCCAATCATTTGGTGAGTAAATCTGCGTTTACATTGAATCCGAATTATCAAATCGGAAAATCGAATCAGTGTGTAAGAATCGGGACACTAGCGCTCAGCGCATTAGAGACACGATTCAAATTTCAGTTCAGTTGACCCGAGGTGAATGCAGCTGAACACCACATGAACACACACACCCTCGCGCCCTCTCTCATATTTGTTTCTGTCTACTTCTTAGACCATAGATTTTTCCCTCGCTTTCAACTGATCTTTTAGTATAGTATAGTATAATATCTATTGTTATCCATTCCAGAAACACAGAATCAATTTACATATTACAAAATCAAGAAATCATTACAAAACCTAAGAGCAAAACATTGACAATAAGACCAAATAACAGAAGATCGGATCCGGAGATGTCCGAAAGTGGGAGGGGCGGAAGTGGCGCTGATCGAGATAACACTACACTAGGGGTCCGGGGCGGGGCATGCCCCCACGAAACTCTGGTGTTCTAGACGCCCACAATTAACTTGTCAGGCGCCTTGGGCGACCATTTTTGTTTTTTTTTTACTTTCTTTACTTTTTTGCTTTCTAGAAGGTGGGATCCGGGCCGGCCTGACCCCCTCCCATCAAATTCGCCCCTGCTTTAAGCTGATAGGTGTGTTTCAGAAAGGATCCCCAACAAAAACAAAATACGGAAATATAGATGATATAATTAAGTATTAAGACAAAAAAGAGAATATAACAATATAACAATATGTACAAATTTTAAACGTACACATTTTTTAATTTATACAAAAAAACGCTTGATATCTGTTACTCTTTTCTATCTGGAAATATGATGTTACTTAATTATTTTTAAGAAGCTGTATGTTGTATTTCTCCCGATCATTGCTGAACTATATTGACCTGAGTCTCAGTCTCAGCGATGGCTCCAGAAATTTGCCTACAGGGGGTTGGACATGATAGTTAGGTGCAAACTACAGCCTCGACCAGGATCCCGGGGAGAATTTTTTTTTATGGATTTGGATATTTGGATAGGCGAATTAATATTTTTGGTCAGACGACCTGCTTGTTGTCGATGATTAGTTCCAGACACTTCTAATTTTTTTCAGAATGCAGAAACAATGTTTAAGGCATGTTTATACTTCAACGATAACGATTAAAAAAAAGCTAAAAAGCAATTGTTCATATAGAAAATAGAAGAAATAAGAGAAGTTTTTACACAATCACTTTTTAGCTTTTTTATCGTTATCGTTGAAGTATAAACAGGCCTTTACAGTGGCAGCGGAAGTAGTCAGACAGACCTATTGTGCTCATACGAGATAATTAATATCATCTTATCTAGAATCATGCTTTATTATAGACAGGGGTGGCTCCAGGGCTTGCCCGACGTTATTGGGGCAAGGTCCCCGACGAGGAGGCCATTGTCCCTGACTAGAGCAAAGCATATATAATTTAGGGTTTCAAAGGCAGGGGCGGATTTAGGGGTGGGGGAGGGCTCGCCCCCCCCGCCTCCCTCCCCCCCCCCCCCCCCCCCCACTTTTTTTTTGGAAAGTAAACAAGAAAGAAAAAACTGATCACCCAAAACGGCCCAGAGGTTATTTTCGGTCGTCTAGAAAACAAAAATTTTGCGGGAAATGCCCCCTGACCTCCAAGAATGGTGTTATATCGAGCGGCCCCACTTTTTCCCCCTCCCCATTTCGGACATCTCAGATCCGCTTCTGAAAGGCTTATTTAATCGATTATAGAGTCTACTACTAATATCATAGTCCTACATGCCAAGTTAGACTAATATGCAAGCGTCAGACTTTTGTCCTTAAAACCCCTCCCTATAGGATATTGTAGGCAGCTCCATAATTTTATTTGTTGAGGGCGTTACTTAAAAGAGAAAGCCAACCAAACTCAACCAGGATGTAGTGCACCACCATTTATTTGTGTTCCAATGTATAATGACAAAACCAATCCTATTTTTATGTACTGTAGATGAATATTTAGCAAGAAATCTACAAAGTATACACATATTTTTATCATATTAGGTGATGCTGCATTTATGCGTGAGATTTTGGTCGTTAAACGTGAGAGCGTGAAACACCCAGAATGCGTGAGCCTTGGCTCGTATGTGTAGAAAATAGGCTTACATAAGATATTTTTTTGTTTCTCCAATTGAATTGTGGTTTTTTCCCCCGACTGGGGGCGGAGGTGGAAGCTCTCTCGGACATGGGTGGGGTGAAATTCAACCTGGAGAGGGCCAAATTCATTGCCGTATGCAAGTTTCATACAAAGGCCAAATATACTGAGAGAGGATCCATATGACCTCGGCATCGTTAATTTACTTATATTTTACTCATTTTAAACACGACTTCAACTAAACATGATATTTATTGTATTAAAAAAAGATGAATGTTCCTTAAAGTCAATATTCAACAATAATTATTATGATATGCTGATAGTGAACTAACAATGTTAGCAATTCTAAGCCTTTTATAACCGTGACTCATTATACTCAATCTTCCCTGCGTAGTCATTCGTTGTTTTGTATTTCTGCACGATGATCATCAAATATCATAAGTGTTTAAATGAAAATAATTGGTTAATGAAACAGACACATGTTGTTTAGATTCTAATAAACCAATACGTAGTTTGAACTGCTCACACCCATATCAATATCAATCGACATTTAAAACAAAACTTCTGTTATCAACAAAAACATCTACGAGTTTCAGAGGATCTAGTGGGGGCATTTAAACACCTTAAGACCAAGAAGGAATTCTCAATGATAGGACTGATGTTTGTTTGGACCCTTCTGTCTGAGCAATCACTAATGCCTCCGCCGCCGCAACACCACTTTATCTGCAGCTCCAATTGTTAAACAAGAAAGTGACTGATTATTTTCTCAGATGTCTTGGACTTCTTTGCGTCTGGGAATATGTTGAAATAGCCGAGAGATAGAGTCGGTACGAAGAACGCATCTCCTCCCCCGTCCCACCCACTTTAATAAAATTCGGTAGGTTTGATGCCAAGATTGCTGTATAATAAACGACTTCTATGGCATCAAGTTTAAAGTGCGTGTGACTGTTCCTTAACACAGAGAGGTGGCGGTAAAACACTATATATGATGTACGGTATGTATACAACTATGATGTATCGCCGTATAAGATCGTATGGTCGGGCTCTGTGGACACTGCCACACGAAACTGCAATGTATAGGCCTTATTATATATATATGTATATATATATATATATATATATATATATATACATATATATGTATATATATATATGCCTATGTATGTATGTATGTATATATATGTGTATGTGTGTATGTATGCTGTCTCTTTTATACACATCTAGATGTGTATAAGAGACAGGTTTTTACACAATCGCTTTTTAGCTTTTTTATCGTTATCGTTGAAGTATAAACAGTGGCAGCGGAAGTAGGCAGACAGACCTATTGTGCTCATATGAGATAATTAATATCATCTTATCTAGAATCATGCTTTATTATAGACAGGGGTGGCTCCAGGGCTTGCCCGACGTTATTGGGGCAAGGTCCTCGACGAGCTCGCCTTGACAGCGAGAGGTCGCAGGTTCGAGTCCCGCCAGAGGCATTTTATTACACAATTTCTTTATTCATTTATTTACAGGACTACATTCGTTGAGAGCTATGCTATACGATGTATTTATTAAGTCCTTTATCTGAACACTGTATTTACCTTTCTTTGATTATTTATATATATATATATATATATATATATATATAATAGCAAAATCGGTTGCTGAAAAAGATAATATGTACACAGAAAAATAAAATGGAAGACAGCAAGGTATATGACACACTATTTAATGAAACTCGAGCACTTTTGGTCTCATTGTTTGAAACTTAACTCAAATTTAATTGTTTTTCATAAATCGACTATCGAGGTTAGGCCTACATGATAATTTCACAGTTTTGATCTTACAAAAATATTTAATTGTGGTCATTATAATTTTCCCAGAAAACCAATTAAGACACTACCAAACGTCTTAGTGTGAGTTCAATAATAAAAAGTTTTGGTTCTGAAACTTTTAAGGTTCAAAATGGAAACTGAAACTTTAAGCTTGACCCATCATTCTGCGCATTTCACCAATTAGAAGACAACGAATTATATTAAAAGCACACAACCTTGTATCAACAACTGCACTAAATGTGTAAAGACCCTTTATGTTATTAAGCTAACAAATCCTAAATTATTAAACGCTAAACTTTTCATCGATTCATTTGTACTCTTTTGTATTTTCAGACAATAATGTATAATTTTGACAATGTATTAACAATTCTGAGTTAATTTAAAACGTTGATAAACACAAAAGGCATCAGGCCTACTATACAGACGTACAGAAACTCAATTTTTGGTGACTAAACAAATTTAACGAATATAATTGGTACGTCAGTTATACTGTGTTAAAATACTTCCACAGCTCATCACAGATCACTTCAAGGAGCTTATCTGTAATTGAAAAAATATAATCATAAGTACTTTTGAATATATATTTTTTCATTGCTTAATATAACATATCACCCAACGAACGATTCTCGTATTCTGGTATATTTTCCATTTTCTTGTATATCGTGGTTATTGAACATAAATAACTAGTAGTGCATAGAGACAAGATACATATGCAAAGGAATTTATCTCAATTAATATAGAACTACAAGACGGAGAGGGTGAGAGGGAGAGGAGAGAGTAGACCACTGATGTATCCTGACACAATTGCAAGAGATAGGCCTAGGCCCTACTGGTATTGCGCTAGCACTGGTCAAAGCGCTGTGGCGTGTCCGAGTGTCATCTATCTCGACCGCGGTCGACGAATGATAATGAGTATGATGATAGCTAGACGGATAATTGGTTATGTATTTATACTAACGTATTGTGGATATAAAAGCCTAGCAGTTATGCAATTTAATGGAGTTCCAGATTCCAGAATTTGAATTCACGTACTGTATGAATATTGTATTATACGTGATGAAGGACGGGTAGGGGGTAAATGAAAATGTGATGATTGTCCACGACATCGATGTGTTTGATTGTTTTGTCCAAAATATACAGCAAGGGATTGAGGTAAAGTATTATCCTGGACATGAATATTTCTATATTAAGGTCAAGTAAGCTAAATATTAAATAATTTTCAATTTCAAAAAGATCAGTCGTGCGCGGCGGGTAGTGTAATGCGTAATATTTCAAATCAATTCAATGCGACTTTACTTCCAGTTCCATCATCAATATACATTATGAAACATGAGTAATTCAAACATAACAATTATAATAAATGTAATTATTAAATTATAAGGAATTGAAAAAGGGCATACAAAGCAAGTATCTGTTATCATGTAGCCCTAATAATAATAACAATAATAATAATAATAATAATAATCAATAAATAATAATAATAATATTATAATAATAAAAATAATAATAATAATAATAATAATAACACATATTACATATGGATTTATTTTGAAATAAAATCAATCAATCTATCAATAAAAAATAATTTAATTATATGTATGCGTGTGTCAGAGAGGGGTGATGTATTGAGTATATTCAGGACAATGACGGCTCCAGCGGCTGTCTCTTATACACATCTAGATGTGTATAAGAGACAGGGTATACAC